TTTAGGGTGTTTATGATGACTATATTCAACAAAAACGAAGACAATGACTGAGGCAAGTGCCTGGGTTTGCTTGTAACTGGCTATGGCCCTGCACGTGGAAATGATTGCAGAATTGACGGAATAGATGTAGTACATATGAGCTTGGTTTAAATTCCCGTTAAGAACGAGACCTCAGCTTGTAACGACATCACCATCTGTCTTACATTCAGAAGTCGAGTCGTTCGACTGCAATTCTTATCAGTGCGTGCGTGTGAAGAACAAGAGAAAAACCGAATGAAAAGGGAGAAAGAGAAGATGTCTCACATTTCTGTAAGCTTAGTACTCCTACGTTACGAACTAAGCAATGGGAATTTGTTCCTTTTTGGATCAACGTGACACAACAGATGCAGTGATTTCAGCACAGAATCAGCGTGGTATAAGAGCTCAGTTGAAACACGTTTCCTTTTAACATTGGCACAGTTCTCATAACGATTGATTCCTATGAGCTAAATTTAACAGATCACATGCGATACTTTCAGTTTCAGTTACAGAAACATGAGTGATCAACGCGGTATGTTTCAGTTAACTGTCGAACACATGATGGCTGGTTTCTTTGGATTGAACTTCGCAGATCACATGCATATACCTGCAGCTCTCGTGTCTAAAACGTGACTCTCGAGCCTTCGCGTCGAAAACTTCGACTCTTGCGCTCACTCACGCCTAAAGCTAGGAACCAATCTCTCTCTCTCGCCCAGATGAAAATTTCGCAGCCTTTAATTAATGACACAATTTCGAATAAAAGGAAGCTGGACCCAATGTAAGAAACGTTAAGTCCATGTAAATGCAGTAATACTGAATTACTGGCGACATTACTTTGACCAAACACATCCTATTAAACTGTGCCCGGGAAGCATTTCGAAAGCAGTCGGGGACCTTCGGACGTTATCGGATGAGGTCGGGTCGTATAAAAGTCTCACGTCTTGGACTCGGAAAAAGTTGATAGGCGCTTTCAGGTTGCAGAACGTTCAACACAGACTTAACATGATATGAGAGCCTAGCTTACATGACGCCGGATTGGGTTCTTGACCCTTCTTCTTTCTCCTCAAAGGCTTGAAAGCTACCGTAAATCCTCGAATTAGCACCAGGGGCACTTAATGTAATTTGTGATGATCTTAAATTAGCATAAATTACTATTTTGCCGGCACGGACCAGAGGGCTGGGT